CTACAAAAATGCTTTCCTTGAACAGCATTACCATCCATCCTTGCCCTATCCAAAACCAGACTGCTCCTAAAAACTCTCCTTCCATGATACCACCACCTTCACCTACCTGCATTCTATTAAGCACCAGGTCTTCTTTTTCAGGTGTTAAACCTACGGCCGCCTCCTCCCATGTTCTCTAGCTTCAACTAGCCCTAATCAATTCTTGCCTCCACAGGGAAGGCCTTCTTCGAGATTTTCTTGACACCTAGGTTCTTTCTACCCAGCACAACCATCACCCTTCAAAGTTCAAGCAGAACAGCAAATCAACAGAGGTAGAGCAGGGTCAGCAAACTCTAGCCGACAAACCAAACCTAAGGATCACCATTTGTTTTAGTAAATAAAGTCCTAATGGAACACATCTACGTTAATTAGCTTACATATAATCCATTGCTGCTCTTGTGCAATAATCAGAGTTAATTAGCTGTGAATGAAAAAGTATGGCCCTCAAAGCAGACTTCTTACTTTTTAGCCCTCGGCAGAAAAAGGCTAAAGTCCCCTTTAATGTATACTTCACACTTCCTCCTCTATCTCCACAATGCAGTGACCCCAAGTCCTCTAGCACTGCTCTATGAAGCACTGCAGTTTCATTTTCTGGACCTGTGCTGAAATGTCCTCTCCCTGCCTGGCACTATGCTGTGTGGTGTCTCCTGTGCTGTGAACCCCTCCACCAGAACCACCACCCCAACTAAATTTTCTTTAGTTCCATATGCTTTTCATACCATTGAGTCTCTCATCTCTCCTTCCAACAGCTACAGGAGAAAGGTATCTCTAATTCCTTTCCAAAGGTCAAAGGTCTCCAAATTACACAGGTGTCCTGCATACACATTACTCCCATATTCAATCCAAAGTACTGAGAGTCCATAACCACCCTGCACAACATCCTCTCTTCTGTGAGCAATGACAGAGATTTGAACTGAATTCCACACCAGCACTCTGGGATATGAATGTGAGATTTGCTAGGAAACCTTAAGTTTCATGCCAGAGAGGCTCTCTGATCACATTATTCTCCTCAAACAACTCACCTTCCAGGGCTCCCCACTACTTGGCGGATAAAACACACAATTCCTGAGAGCAAAGGATTCCATTGGGAGGCACTCACCTGACCGCTACTTCACCACATGAAACAGGCACCAGACAAAGGTAGGGAGCGTAAATATAGCCTTTATCCCACTAGTTTATTTCTTTGAGAAGTCAAACTGTCTGTGCCACAGAAGTTTTCATCTGTAAGATAATATCTAGGTCCAAGTTCAGCACATGGATTAGAAGAAATACACTTTTATAAAAGAGTTGGTATTCTAAAAGGCTTCAATAGGATTTGGGATTACTGTTACCCCTTACAAAATCAACATTTTAACCAAATGCCCTTTGCCTTCAATTTTGTCACCTGTAATACTTGCCCTTTTCCCCAAAAATCTTATCCAACAGCATCAAAGTGCTCCCCATTCTTCAAAAGCAATCCCACCCCTTCTTCTACTTCCCTGAGGGTCTCTTATTTCTTTAAGCCATAATCAGCTGGTTCCCTTGGCTCCCTCCTGGCCACATGTGCCCTCCCCCCACTTGCTCCTGTAGACACTTCCTGTCATCCTAAACCAGTGGCAGGTGTTTTAGAGCAGGGAGCTGGCTGCCATGAGTCAGCATTCCCCTGAAGGCAGCATGCCTCACACAAATAAAAGGTTTATAAAGTATTTGTTGAATTGAATTATCAGTTGTGTCCAGCATCCAAGCCAAGTATCTCTGACAGATTTTCCCAGAGTATGTTCAGAGAAGATACTGCTCAGAGCGCTTGCTGCTGGTGACAAAATGAGAATCCTGGGCACTGTCTTTTTCTTAGAAACCCATGATGAATAATAGTATGTTAAAAGCTAGGAGCAGTCTTGCAGTAAATAAGCCAGTTTATGTTTCTTTAGCTCTCTCAAATGTAGCTCACTATGGACCTGATCCATTTTCCTACTCTGTAATCCCTATTTGGGTCAGCTGGGGCTGTGTTTCCTAGCAGAACTGGAATCAGGAGGCCTGAGTTTAAGATGCTGATCGTGAATGTGACAGGCCACAAGAACCAGAATTAGGCAGTCCTCTTAAGAGGCAAAAACAGAAACTTATAGTAGCTAATTTAAGCACAAAGGCAATGACTAAAAGTCTATTCCATAACTCACAGAACTTCGGGGAAGGCGAAAGAAGCAAGCTCAGAAAACAGAACCAAGACTGAATACAATCTAATCATGCCAAACTTGAGTCTCAGGAAACATCTGTGGGGACAACCAGGAACAGCAGACATGGCAGCTAGCAGTGTTGCCATCGTTGCCCCTGGCAACAGGATGTAGTGGCCATGGCCATCAACAATTCTCTGCTGCCCTGCCTCTGTGTCATTTGTTTCTGATTGAAGTTCCAGGAAGGAATCCAGACCTGGGTGCAGAGTGTAGGGACAACTACAGCAGGGCAAAGATCTGCCCATATCAGTCCCAGCAAAAGTCATGGGCTAGCACAACTGCAAATATCCCAACTGGGGAGCATTTCCACCCAGAAGAAGTGTCAGTCACTATCCGCTCCTGTTCCCATGACTCCAGTTTCTCATTAATAAAGTGGGAATACTACTATGGACTCCACCAACTTCATGATGCCCTCATGTAGGTCTCATTAAAGATGGTCAGGGTCAGGACTCTGTGCACTGTACTGCATGACAGGCTGGGGAGCCAGCACTCTATCCTACACAGGCCTGGTCTCATGTTTACCACCTATGCAAGCGTCGGCCAGAGGGAGCTCAACCCAGTACAGAGAAGGGGCTGGGGAGAAGGGCATGTAACTGAGATGAATTTCAGTGAGCTGAAGGAAAGGAGGGAGAATCAG